AACTTACTCATTCCAGATTCCTACACCTATTCTTAACCTTCCACACTTCTTCCAATTAAGTCACCAGTCACTGATAATTCTATGTTTTACTGACCTTCCAGTGATTATAAATTTAAGTGGTTTTTCAAAGTAAACTTAATTCCAGTTTCAGACTTTTAAATTAAAAGTGGCTCAGTTGGATACTGTTTCTTCAACATAGTAATATAAATATTAGTATCCTGGCTAAAATGAATTATTGACAATTTTAATACATGTTGCACAGTACATATTAATATAGAAAAATACATGTTATCAGCAGCATAATGTTGACCATGTTCTAATCCATTCCACCTGCTCAAATATTAGTGCAAATAATTATATATTTGTAATGCATCACTGATGTCTAGCACAAATCTATGCCTTCTGAATAAATGACTTTCCTCTGAGGTTGTTTGCTGTTTGGAGTATGATGTGATATATTCATATTTAAATTGGCTTTGTACGGTGAGGCAGACTGCAACCATCTAAAACACTCAAAAAATGAACAAGTATGGTTAATTACTTTTCTCTCCCACCACAAGTGATATTCATCTCAAGAACTGAAGTTTACTGTTATCACCCAAATATTAGTGTTAAAGTATACAGGGCCAAATATTCAAAAATATCAATCTTGTTAAAGCCCAGAGTTATCAGCCTAACTGCTCCAAATCATCAATTAAAATTCTTACACTCTAACATGTCAGGTTTCTCTCTCATATACACTTGAGAAACTCTTCAAATTTCTCTTTGGAAAGAGAAAGGACTGATCAGTGGTAAGAATAAAAGTTAAGAGTCTTAACTCTTAAAAGATTAAACATGCATGTTTCCCCCTATATTTTCACTCCAGCATTAGCCATTTAAAAACTACCAAATGCATTAAATAATTAACACAATTGGCAAACGTATGACATTAAAATAGTCTGTGTTTGAAGGCAGAAATACTGATTTGCCCATATTTTCCAAGGTAGAGTTGTGATTTACTCCTATGTTACAAAACACTTGGACTCTTTCTTCTGTAAAAGTTAAGCAGATATAGTACTGTAATTGTGTAAAATAATACTACAGAGAACTTTTTGAAAGATTTCTATTAATTACAAACTTAATATTAAATTAAAATTTCATGACCACTTATAAAATTTTAAAAACCAAATTTAAAAAGTATGACCACACATTGGGAACATTAAAAAACCCAACAGTAAATGAAATACTGATCCTGTGTATCAACTTCATAGCCTAAACACTACAGTGGGAACCAAACATTGAATGAGAAGGAAATTAGACTAAGGAAAACTAATGAGTCTATCAAAATAAAAGACCTATTTAATGTTACATAAGGAGAATAGTGCACAGAACATCAAGAGTGAGTGAGAAAGACTTAGGTTTCAATCTGAGCCTTTTATTACCTACAGACCTTTAGCAGGTCTACTTAATGTTTTTTGTGACTTAGATGTTTCATCTGTCAAATGGAGATAATACTACCCAACTCTTAAGGCTGTTTTGGAATCAAATGAGATCATGTATACAAATGGTTAGCATAGTGCATTGAATTTGAACCAATAAATGTAGCTATAATTATCTGTATTATGCATCAATATTTAAAAATTGTTGTTTTACTTTATGTAGAATTATTTACTCTAACAATATAAACTGGTCTTTTCCTCGAAAGCACATAACATATTTCCGGACCGAGTTTCTCAAGCGGAGAGAAGTACTACCGAATTGAGTATAGTTAAATTAACTGGATGAAAGTTTAAAGTGCTTTTGATATCAAATTCTCCAATAGAAATCAGGAGAATTCAGTACACTTCTAGAAAGTACCTCACACTTCTGAGTCAATGAATAGTATGTGGGTAATATGAAACCTACTTTTGTATTGATAAAAAAAAAGTTAAATCCCAGATTTGAGCGTTTTAAGTTAAAAACAAATTATGCACAGAGTGAACCTTGCTGACTCTCACATAACAGTTGTTCAAGCATGTTTTAGGCACTACCTTATAAACATGACCACCTTAAAAGGTTTTGTGGCATTTCAGGAACCAAAATCTCTTTATCTGGATACCTGTAAATATTCACCATCTTAGATGAGAAAAAGGCATTTTAAGGAAGCAGTACATTCTCCACTTTGAATCAATCTAATAATAAAATTATTTCACTGTAAGCCAGAAGGCTGATGTTCAGATAGTGAAAATTTAAAGTGAAAGAGGAAAGAAAATCATCTAAATATATCATAAGTTAATGTATTTAGCAGTTTTTTTAAAAAAGGAAGGTGCTAGGGACTTGCAACCATGGAGATGCTCAAAATGAGGCTAATACTTGTCTTGAAATAGTCAATGAGTCATGTGTCTAAAGATTCATTCAACTGTTATTTTATAATTCTTGATAAGGACTATTCATCTACTGTGGTAGACTGTCATTTTCAATACCATAACTTATAGAGGCTAAAACCTGTGTCCTGTATTTTAACTTTCTGTACCATATTACAAAAACATAATATACTTAAGTTTCAGAAAAATAATTTGCAGTGTTTTGGAGCATATTTTCCACTTCAAAACATTACATAGATATTGTCTGTTAGCTCCTGTAGAAATGCAGAAAACTGTAAGGATTCTCTTTAATCAAATGTTGTCTAATGTTACTAATATACAAAGTTCCATTATTGCTACTTAAAATTTTATCATGTGCATTTGAAAAACATCTTACTTATTGATCATCTTTTTTGAGTCATAAATTGTGGGCAAAATTTTATAGTGGCCATAAATATAAAAAATGTTTTAAAAATTGGAATAAAAAGAATGCAAGGAATGCACAGGGCTTTATAGAACAAAATTTTTTAAAGAAAGATAATCAGTTAAATTTCTAATCTTAGAAAAAAAAGTATTTTTCTTCTAAAAAAAAAAAAAGGAGGTGAGAAGACCTATAAAAAATAAGGAACATCTTAAAAACTTAAATAGCAATAATTTAGAAAATTAACTATGGATATCCTTAAGATGTAAAAAATGGAGTGAAATAAAAAAACAATTGCAGGGAATTTGTTTATTAAGCATTAATGTTAACACTTCTAAATTAAGTATTCACTTATGAGTTTTCTTTGTCACTGCCTTGGTCAATGGACATAATGGAAAATATTGCACAAAATTCAAGCATGGAAATAATAATTAACAAAATATTTAAGCAACATGTTTATGTTTTACATTTAAAAAAATTAATCCAAACAAAATAATTTGAAGCACTTCTCTGATTTGGAAGTCTTAAAATGTTCTCTCGTGTTTTATTTAAGATTTTGTTTTCTCTTTCTCTCTTTTTTTTTTTTTTTTTTTTATACAAATTGACACTGTACAAAGAGTTCAAATGGCCAGTAAAACTACTGCTTTAAAATTGTTGGCTTTAAGTAACAGAGGTATAATTTGAATTCACATCAGAGCTTTCTAAAATGGCAATAGTACAAGCATATGACTTTCTCTAGTATCCAAAATCTGTTCTGGCTCTCCCCTTGGCTAGGGAATAGAAAACTAGACAGCTTTCTAAAGCTGCCACAATTTTCTAAAATGCTTTGATAAAAGTTGGCATACTTTGTTTCTTTTGCTTACCTTGATAACACTGGGCTAAACAGAAAATTAAGAAAATTCAGTCAATAGTAACTTAAACAGTAGGTAGTGCTGGATCTGGAAGTTTTGGTAAGATTGATGACTATTCAGAAACATAGTCTTAAAAGAAAAGTAGTTTGCCAAAATTAGGCCAAAAAGCCTACATTAAAGGAAAAAAATGCCAAGAATGAGCTGAATATTAAAGTTTATCTGTTCTTAGAAGATTGCGAACAACACAAAGGGAACTGAAATACTACACACAGATAAGAATGAATTCTTGCAGAGCAAGTTTAGAGAGATTGTAGAGTAAATAGCCTTGCTAAATTTCCACTTGACGTTTAAAATTTTATAAGTGATTTATTATGTCACCATATTAAGCCAATTCAGTTAACTCCATTCAAGAATTGCTTCAGAAATGCCTTGAAAAAGATAATGACAGAAACTATAGATCTGAAAAGCAATCAGTCTTCACAAAGCTTGTCTCCAGACTTAGAATATATAATGCTATCAATTACTGATTCCCCTTAAAATAGATTACCAGTGTTCAGCCATCCCATCTTATTCCAGTTTAGTATTAAGAAAGTAATCTTAAAGGGCTGCATTGTTGCTAAACACTGTCAATATTTCTCATATTCACCATTTAGACTATACCTCAACTTTACTTCCCTTATAATATTAAAATAATGAATAAATATGGTCCTTCAGTTAAGGTCCTCCACCTTACCTTAAGTGAAATATAAAATAAGGTAGACTTATTAATTCCTGCTAGCATTGGCTTAAAATCTGTTTATGAAATAAGAAATAGTAAACTTTAAGTTTTTTTACCCAGAAAGCAGATGTATTCTGATCCACTCCTAATATCTACATAAAACATTTCATCATATTAGTTCAGTTTATAACATTTTTCTTGGAATACTACTGTTGTACCTCAGGGAAAAATCCAATTAACCAACTACAGAAATTATGCTCAGTTGTTAACCTTTTGAAAGAGGCAAAAGTTCTCTAAGAAAACCTAAAATAACAATTGGTTAACAATTACCAAGTGCTGAAAAGGTCATTAAAAATTGGTAAATAATAAATGCAGTTTTGCTGTATTTTACCATCAATGCAAAATAGGATGGTGAAACTTCCCAATGGAATATGTCAAAGAACATGAACTGGAACAGTGATAACATCTCATTTGTTTTCTGACACCAGCATTTTCCAGGATGAAAAGAGTGACACGTAGTTTCACATAATTTGAAATTTAGAATTTGAAATTTGTTAAGTTCAAGAATGGAATTAAAATTTAACTTAAGGGGAAAAAAGCAAAATATGGCCGGGTAGTGTCCAAATTTCAAATAAAATCTCAAGGGTAAGTATGGCTGCTGTTTTTCCAAACAGTCATTTTTCCATAAAATGTTGGCTGTGTCATAAGAAATCTCCTGTGCTTTCAGTCAACCAAGACCTGCTGAAGTACAACATGTTTCCCTTGTAAATTCAACCTCAGCTGAAATGTCGAGCAAGGCGGGCAGATCTATAGTCAGCACGAAGTTGTACGAAGGAGTGAAGAATGTTTTTGTCCAGATTAGCAAGTTGTTCTCCTGAGCAGACTTGCTTTAAATTATCTGGGGCGACTACCAGAAGATTGCAAAGTGCATGCAGAGTATCAAAAAGCTGTAATACCAGTGGGATCTGAATTAAGGAAAAAAAAAACAACCAGCATTGAAACAAAACGATTTCTAGTTTTACAATTAGTTTTTAATCCTTCTCACTTATTTACTGTTATTCAGGAGTCACTAATGTGGGAGAGGTTCAATATATTAAAAAAATTTTAAAGCTTCAGAAAGTATTAAAACTCAAATATTTCAGACATTACAAAAACGTGGTATAATCTTTTTGAAAAGATATATAGTATGCCAGTTTTCTTCAATAGTTAACAATCATTTATACTTCTGTGGATTAGAATTAGTTATCATTAATTTAGCACTTTTCTTAAATAATTTAAACCTTAAGGAAAACTGATTTCAGAGAGATGTACATGAAGAAAGAACATATTTTCCTGATGTGTGATATATACAGCTTTAGTTATGAAAGTCAACAATGTCATTTGAATTGTGGAACTGAAATATGGCCTTGTCTAAAATAAAGCACAAAGCAAAAATGTGTTAATACTGAAAATATGATTGGAACAACACTTTTCCAGTTAGAAAATGTTAAATCTGTCTCGCTACAATATCAACAAGTTGTAAACTTTTCAGTAATGACAGTAAGTCAGCATGCATTCTTAACGGTCTGACTTATGTTCCTGAGCCTATTTACAAGCTTCAGATTTGTGAATACGTACCTTGAAGTCTTTGGCACACTTCCTATATTCAGCTACATCACAAATTGCTAACATGCCACCCATACAACTGTAGGAATATTGTTGAAGATGCTCATAAATAAGTCGATGAAAACGTACGCCAAGTTCCATCAAAACTGTATCCACATTCTTCCCATCCATGGAATTTTTAATCTTTTCCACTTGCTTTCTCACGTAAGCACAGACTTTAACACAGGCCTGTAAAATTTTTTCTACACTTATTACATAGAAATGGATATCAACTTAGATGAGGAGAAAATACATATAGTGTCTCACTGATTTCTAAGTATAAAAGAAAATAACTTAGAGCACAGTAAGATGCACCAATGAAAATGTTAATGAAATTATTAAGCAAAGCAGATATTCTTACTAGTATATTGAATCATTTTACTCACATTAGTATATTGAATCAAAACATTGTTTTCATCTTCTGGCTTAAAATCTGTTTTCTTTTGTTCTGCAGCCAAGATATGCTTCATCTGTCCAATCATACAATTTAACGTCCTAGAGAATTGAGAACACCATATATTTGATCCCTTTATTTAAAAATTTTTAAAAAATGTTTGTTTATTTTTGAGAGAGAGAGAGAAAGAGACAGTGTGAGCTGGAGAGGGGCAGAGAGAGAGGGAGACACAGAATCTGAAGCAGGCTCCGGGCTCTGAGCTGTCAGCACAGAGCTTGATGTGGGACTCGAACTCAAGAACTGTGAGCTCATGACCTGAGCCGAAGTCAGACACTTAACCAACTGAGCCACCCAGGAGCCCCTTGATCCTTTATTTTATATTCACTTTATATTATTTATACTAAACTGAAATTATTTAATTTCATAGCTCTGTAAAATTATTTACTGTTGGTAGACTTTAGATTTTAGAAAAAATAAATTCTAGGTCTTGCTATCAATGAACTCTGGTTTTATTTAGATTCCTGCTCTTGCCCAATACTTTATTTAAGGTAATATTAAAGATCTTATGGGGGCGCCTGGGTGGCGCAGTTGGTTAAGCGTCCAACTTCAGCCAGGTCACGATCTCGCGGTCCATGAGTTCGAGCCCCACGTCAGGCTCTGGGCTGATGGCTCAGAGCCTGGAGCCTGTTTCCAATTCTGTGTCTCCCTCTCTCTCTGCCCCTCCCCCGTTCATGCTCTGTCTCTCTCTGTCCCAAAAATAAATAAATGTTGAAAAAAAAAATTTAAAAAAAAAAAAAAAAGATCTTAGAAATCTGTCACTAACTTATTTCGTTAACAGTTATATACAGAGAATGGTTACAAGAGGGGAAGCTAGAGGGTTTAAGACGAATGGCCAACATTTGGAAGAAGACGTGAGAAGCATATGAGTTTACACTCTAAGGACAATCAGTAGGCTGAACAAGTGGTACTAAAGACCCAGTTGAGAAATGAGAGCATGGGTTTGTAGTGGTACCAATAACATTTGAGTTATGTGATATTCTCTAACAGCAATCAGTCACCCAGTTATGGTAATAAAAGAGACTGCACTGATCCAAAACTTAGGATCTGTAAGATAGTTATGGTTAATGGAAATATATTTTAGGGGAATTAGAAGGGACTAATTCAAGAGCTGGGTCAAGCAACCTAAGCATAATAATAAAGTAAAGCTAGGAAAAGGGTAATTGGCAAACGATTAATAAATTAAGGGCTAGAGCTCGTGCTGAGGTCAGAAAGCAGGTTGTGGAGTTGGAAGAACAAGAGGTTATGAGCAATGAGTGGGATATTCAAGTTTGAGGTTTTTGTTACCAATGATAACAAGGTCTAGCAGGATACGAGAGTAGGTAGCTAAAGTGAAGATGATCAAGAAAATGAATGGGTCAGACACAAGGAAGTGGAAATGACTTACACTAAGGTTAAAAGAAAAACTGTGAGCCTGTTGCCCAAATTCTCAATAAATACAGGGGACTAACGTAAATGACTGAGAGATAACAGCAATAAGAAAAGATGATGTGAGCTTCAAAGGCAAAGAGGTTCTGACCTAATACCCACAGGTGGACACTGGTCTGAAAATACCAGAAGGGATCAGGTGGATGCTCTGCTTCCCTCTTTTACCCATTATCCATGGAAAATGGGTAAAAAAATTAGAAGTTCACATTCATGAGACCACTACAGATCACTGTGCTTTCAATTGGTCAACTAGTACAAAGACTTTGAGACCAAAGCTTAAAAATTTTTTTTAATACTTATTTATTTTTGAGAGACAGAGCACAAGTGGGGAGGGGCAGAGAGAGAAGGAGACAGAATCCAAAGCATGCTCCAGGCTCTGAGTTTGTCAGCACAGAGCCCGATGCGGGGCCCGAACTCACAAACCGTGAGATCATACCTGAGCTGAAGTCAGACGCTCAACTGACTAAGCCACCCAGGAGCCCAAGACTAAAGCTTATATAGAAAGATATTAAGAAGATACCTAACAAATACATCTTTCCTGTACCTCTGAAAGCTTAATGTATCCAACCTCCCCACGTCCCAAGTATGATTTTTAGGTATTCTGAGGCAAACCAAGAAGAAACAAATTAAGTTAATATGAGGGATTTAGGTTAGGAAAATACACACTTCTTGAAGGGATGATTATAATGTATATAAACATATTACATTATGTGAAATACTGTGTATGTATAATCTCCTGTTGTCCTGACTGAAAGCAAAAGGTAGAGGCCAGTTTTTAGGATTATTCTAAGCATATAATCAGTAAATTAAGCTCAGTAATTAATTCTATAACATGCCCTTTTCCCAGTTTTATTCTTTAACTTTATTTTTCTTTCCCTCATTATCATATACTCTACAGTATATTGATCTTAGTGAAAAGGTAATTGGGAGGTGACCTGCAAATTTGATACTACTAATAAAGTAAAAATTATTTACTTTTTCACAAATTAGAGTGAATTTCAGGCTATCCTTGTAACAGCACTATTAACTAACTTGCACTCAAATATGCTTTGTTGAATAGAAGAGAAAGGAACAGAATTATAATATATAAAGAAGATATGCCCAAACCTAGTAGCAAGGGCTTTAGCATTTGAATCCTAGCTCTACCACTACTAACTGTGCAATCTTGAGCAAATACTTTATTTCTTTAAGCCTCGATTTCCTCATCTGTAAAACAGAAATGGTATTTTCTACCTAATAAATAACACAAGTGAAGGTCCTTAACACTGTGCCTGGCACACAGCAAAAGCTTGATAAATGGTAACTGTCATCATCATTAGTAAGTATAAGACCACCACATCATCTCAAGAAGAGACCCACCGCTCTATTCCGTAAACAGATAATTAACTACAAAAACTGTTACAAAAATTTTTGAACACAGAGTTTGCATTCACTTAATGAAATTTACTTACAGAAAATTAGCATATTTATTTAAAGCATTTCAGACATAACCCTGAAAATTCTAAATGAAAATAAAATCCTCTATGTTACATACCATTTTTAAGGAGTTTTGAAAGAGTAGGAGAAAGGAGGAGGAGGAGAAAACGATGGCTTCCAAGAATAGTTTTCAACTGAATCTAGTTTAAAAGAATCTAAACATACTAAAAACCATTTTCATGCTGCATTTATAATAGTGTTTTTACAAAAATTTTAAAATTTTTAAAAAAATATTTATTTTTGAGAGAGAGAGACAGAGTGTGAGGCAGGGGAGTGGCAGAGAGAGGAGACACAGAATCGGAAGCAGGCTCCAGGCTCCGAGCTGTCAGCACGGAGCCCGATGTGGGGATCGATCGAACTCTCGAACCGTGAGCTCATGACCTGAGCCAAAGTCGGACACTTAACCGACTGAGCCACCCAGGCGCCCCTAGTGTTTTTACAATTTAAAAAATATAAGAGGCAAGGGGCGGGGGGTGCCTGGCTGGCTCGGTGGGTGGAGCATGTGGCTTTTGGAGGACTGAGAGTCCAAACCCCACGCGGGGGTGTGGATTTTAAAATAAAATCTTTAGGGGCACCTGGGTAGCTTAGTTGGTTAAGCATCTGACTTCAGCTCAGGTCATGATCTCATGGTTCATGATTCGAGCCCTGCGTCAGACTCTCTACTGTCAGCACAGAGCCTGCTTCCAATCCAGTCTCCCTTTCTCTGCCCCTCCCCTACCTCGCACATGGTCTCTCTCAAAAATAAACATTTAAAAAAATAATAACAAAATCTTAAAAAAAAACCCAAAAAACTAACAACTTGCCTATCAATGCCAGTATCCAATTTCATCTCCATTTGTTCAATTATTTCTTTTTTCTTCTGAAGGCATTCAGATAACTTAGGAGAAGAGCTATTCAATGTTTAAAAGGAAAAAAAAATCACATTAGTAGCCTTATAACTCTGAAAGTTTTTCATATGCATATGTATATTGTTATAAAAATTTATAAATACACAAACATATATATTATTTTAATTTGCTTGCAAATCCAAGAAGCACGTAAGTAGTAACTACAGTGCCCAATTCAAACTAGGAAATTATGCAGTATTACTATGCCTAATAGTCACACTAGGAAAAATTAACCATTTAGAAGAGAAGGAAGAAGAAGATTTAGATTCATTACTTTTTTTTTTAATATATGAAATTTATTGTCAAATTGGTTTCCATATAGGCCAATTATGGATGCCTCTTCAATACCCATCACCACCTCCCCCCCCCATCAGCCCTCAGTTTGTTCTCAGTTTTTAAGAGTCTCTTATGCTTTGGCTCTCTCCTCTAACCTCTTTTTTTTTTTTTTTTTTTTTTTTTGGATTCATTACTTTCATCTCAGAGAAGACATCCCTCAAGAATATAAATATATGTGATTTTGAAATTTTGGGATTGTTTCATTTTCTTCTTGTTTTGTTGTTTTGTGTTTGTTTCCTTTTTAATTAAATAACAGTAAAAAACAAAACAAAAAATAAAAAACAAAAAATCCATTGGATATCTTAAGAATATAATCAATTATACTAATTAAAGTTTGGAGACTACAGCCAATCCAGTTGATTTAGCTTTCCTACACTAAAAAATAATTTTGACAGTCATATTTGCCTTCTGAATGCCACCTAAATGTCAAAAACACACAAAATATTAAGGAATATACAACTCTAACAGTTATGTGGATTCTTTGCTATGTGGCATTACAGTTCTTAAATTAGTACATTTCCTTTCAAAGTGTGATTTAGGGATTACAAGTGATCTTATCTTTAAGACTGTTTCTAGACTAATTTTTTGGCATATCAATGTTTACAATAAAATGTTTAAAATATTATCTTTTATATATTGTTCATCTTTTAATAGTACACATATAATTTTATAAGGCATGTTCACATATACTCCACCTTATTTAATCCTCACATGCTTGAAAAGTTCACATAAACTGATAGGAAAATATAAACCAAACCTTATTTAATGTCGTATATTAAAATCTGTCCTATTAATCTCATGAAATTTTTGTTGTCTTTATATGTAGAGAACATTATAATATTCACTGACATACCAACAAAAATCAATTTGACTAACCTTATTAGTGGCATAAGGTGATCATTAAACTGCTTGTCAAAAAGATGAAAAATAGTATTGGCCTGTTGCACAACATCCAAAAAATAGAGATTTGCATTCCTAGAATCTGAAGAAGGAATTCCTAAAATTGGAAGGCATGTATGTATTAGAATCACACTTGAAGAAATTCATCTTGCTAACTGAAAAAATGAATGTGATATTATGAATAAAAGCAACTGCTATTTTAATAAATCAGCAATGATTTTTGTGGACAGAAAAGTAAAATTAAGCTTAATAATAAAATTAATCCAAAGTTTTTACATGCAAGGTTTCACCATCTACTCAGTTTTCATTATTTGCTGAGATAAACAAAAAATACATCAATAAATGAATCGTCTTGGTCTGTATCTTTTCTTTCCTACTCTCTCACGCCCAGTGGTTCACATGAGCCATGAACCACTTCCACCATTTTTCTTATAACAAGGCCTCATTATCTCAGTTAAAATAATTTTTTTGTTACTTTCCTGGGTTCAAATCACTTTATCTTTTCTGTTAATATATTGTTGCCAGAGTAATATATTTAAATTTACACATTTCACTCATCTTGCTCTCTATTATTTCTTCAAAAATATTCAAAGTCTCCTTGCTGTCTACAAAAAAATTCTTGATTTTTCAGCATGCTATTCAGGTGACTCCACATGCTGACTCCAAAAAAGAGAGCTGACCTCTCCAGATTTCAGATTCATCTTTTTTGTAAAAGAGCAATAGATAAACTCTAAGATACATTCTAACCTTAGATGTCTATGTTTCTAGCTAAAATTAAGAAGCATAATGGGCTAAGGAAAATATTCATACATGAGAAAATAAAAGTTTAATACCTAGAATTCTTTACAGGATGATGATTTTTTTTCAAAGTTTTAAAAATGAAAACAAAAGGGGTGCCTGGGTGGCTCAGTTGGTTAAGCGTCTGACTCTTGATTTCGCCTAAGGTCATGATCTCATGGTTGTGAGACAGAGCCCTGCATTGGCTGCATGGAGCCTGCTTATGATTCTTTCTCTTCCTCTCCCTTTGCCCTTCCCCGACCTGTGCACATGCTTGCACACACTCTCCCTCTTTCTCAAAAAAAAAAAAAAAGAAGATACGATAAAATCACCAAATAGTAAGAAAACTAAAGACTCCAACACAAACTTAGAAAGAAAATTAAGTCAGTACACATGTAGAAAATACCAATCCTTATTATTAATGGAAGATACAAAAGGTAATATTTATGTGTGTTTTCAACCATTAAATTAAAGGTTTTTAAAGAATATCCAAAGGCACCTGGGTGGCTCAGTGGTTGAGCATCTGACTCTTGATTTCATCTCACATCATGAACCAGCAGTATGGGACTGAGACCTGCCTCAGGCTCTGTCCTGAGCATGCAGCCTGCTTAAGATTCTCTCTTCCTCTGCCCCTCTCCCTCACTCATGTGTGCGCTCTCTCTACATAATTAAAAAAAAAAATCCCTTTATTCTAAAAAAATATTCAACACTATGTAAAGAATTAGTACAATCATAAAGGTCAATAACAGTGTAAATTACTGCAAAAAAAAAACCCTTTTGCAAAACTGTATATGTATAGAAATTTTGAAATTGGTAACACACTTTGTGTGTGTGTATGTTTTTGTAAGTAAACTCTGCCCTCAACGTGGGCTTGAACTCATAATTCAGAGATCAAGAGTCACATGCCCTACCAACTGAGCCAGCCAGGGGCCCCAGGTACCACACTCTGAACTGCTAATTTCACTTCTGGGATTTCATACGAAGAAAATAATTCAAAATAAGGAAAACACTCTAAGCTCTACAATGTTCACTGCAGCATTATTTATATTACTGAAAAGATTCAAGATATCTAGAAATAGGGGATAGTTAAGTTTATTTAACTTTATTATATATATGCATGACAGAATTTTATTCGATCATTAAAAATAACAGCAGTAAATACTAACTAAATGGCTGCATGGAAGAAAGTTTATGAATATAAGAAACATTCTCACCCCTAAGCCCTTCCAAATTGTGAATACATACAACTATTAAAATGAAGATGCTAGATTTCCATATGAGCTTAATAACAGATCCTTCATACCATATGGATTCAAATTCATGTTATCTTTTTTCATTATCTTCTTTAATTTTCATACCTGTGAGGTATTATTACCCAATACAAATTGCCACATTAAGTCATTTGCAAGTGGCAAATGTTAAATACTCAATGTCAAGATCTGCTGTAATTAGGGCACCTGGCTGGCTCAGTTGGAACAAAGCATGTGACTCTAGATCTTGGGGTCATGAGTTTGAACCCCACGTTGGGTGTAGAGATTACTTAAGAAAATGAATAAACTTAAAAAAAAAAAAAAGAGTCTGCTGTACTTAAGTTAAAAAAAAAAGCAGGCTACAAATGTTTATCTACATCATGAGAGCAAATAAAAAAATGGGTAAGAATAAACCACAAGGTTACTGAATTATGGGTGAGTATGCTTCAATGTTAAAACCTTTATGAAATGATGTGACATACAGTCAATAAACATTTTTGAGCATCTACTATGTGCTTTCTAGGTGCCAGACAATAATGGTGAATAAGACAGATTAAGATTCCTAGCCACAAGAGCATACATGCTGTTCTCTTAAAATACTGTCTCCAAATTCTCAATTCACTCCTTCACCTCATTCAGCTCTCTGGATCATGTCTCCTCAGACAGGCAGTCTCTGACCAACCTTCCTCAAAAAAAAAAAAAAAAAAAAAAAAAAAAAAAAAAAAGCCCTCTGTTCCTGAATTTCCCATCCCAATTCCCCAACACTTCTCATTAACTCTTACTCAATTTTACATTGCACTTTCTAGTCATTTGTCTATCCTTTCCCTGAGATTGAAGGCTCCATGAGTGCAGGAGTAGGCACTTAAAAGGTATGTGTTGAATTAATGAATTCTGGTTAGTGGAGGCAGATGTTAACAGATGAAAAATTTCATTGCGAGAAGTGCTATGAAAAACATTAATTCAGTGATGAAATAATGAGTTACTGGACTGGGAGAGGTGGGCTACATTGGCTAGTGTGATCAGCAAAGGACTCTTTGAGAAGGTGACCTCTTAGTTGAGATCAGAGGTTGAAAAGCCAGGCATTGAAGAGCTGAAGGAAAAGGATTTGAAGGATAGGGAAACACCAAGTGCAACAAGCCTGAGTGGGAAAAAAGAATGAAGGCCAGAGCGATTGAGGTAGTGAGAGGAAGTGCAATATGAGATGTAGATGAATACATAAGAGGAGGACAGATCAAAAGCCATGCTTTTGTGAAGTCTGTTATTATTTTCCCCCTAAAAGTAACAGGAAGATACTAACGGGTCTTAAACAAAGAAATAATAATCAAACTGACTATTATGTGGAGTCAGTACTGTGCAGAAGTGAGAATGTACACAGAAAGGCCAGTTAGGAGTAGACAGAGATGACGGTATGTATGTATATATGTATGTATGTATTTTAAATGTTTTATTTATTTTTGAGAGAGCGAGCGAGCTAGGGAGGGGCACAGAGAGAGGGAGACATGAATCTAAAGCAGGCTCCAGACTCAGAGCTGTCAGCACAGAGCCTGATGCGGGACTCGAACTCACAAACCACGAAATCATGACCTGAGCCGAAGTCAGACGCTTAATTGAGCCACCCAGGTGCCCTGAGATGATGGTATTTACATTAGAGTGGCATCAGTAGACCTTGAGAAAAGTAGATGAATTTGAGTTATGTCTGCAAGTATACTAATGGGATTTGCTGATAGACTGGCTATCAGCATTCATGAAAAGGAAAAATTATGGGAACTCCTATGTTTGGGGCCTGAGCAACCCATAAATAGTAATACCTTTCAAACACATGGAGAAAAATGGGAGTCAAACAGATTTAGATGGAAGATAAAGAGCTTCATTAGGCATATGTTATATCTGAGATGCACAATAGACAGGTGGAAAGTTCAGAGACAACTGGATTAATGGGACTGGGATTTAGGGAAGAAGTCATCATTACCCTATGAATACCAGTAAACCCAAAAGACCAAAAGCAAAAGAAAAAATTTTAATATGAATTCATTCCTTTCCAGGCTTATTTTGGAATATTTTTCTTTCTACACCTTATATTACTCAATTGCCTCAACAAGAATTGCTGTCATCCTTATTTCTGCTCCCTTGACATTTTATAACCTATAGCATTGTACTACAGTCTGCCCATACGCTGCAGTAACTTATGTAGCTTGCCCTGCCCTGCTTGATGTAAGAAATATGAGACAACTGTGTCTTTGTGTAACTTTCAGCACCTGGAAAACCCTTGCATTAAAGAAGCTCAAAAAGCATTATTCATTGCATTGAACTGAATTTGATGTATAAAGTTGAATATATATAAAACAATATTATGCATACAGTGAACTAAGCATGATTAAAGAAATTTAATGCAAATTATAAGACAAATAAATATACTTACCAGCAAGTCCTGTTTCCAAAGCATAATCGATATGCTCAATACATAAAAATTCCACAAGAATGGTAAAAATTCTAAAGGCATTCCTTGGTAAATCAGAAGGATCAGAAAGCTTTAAAAAGAAAAACCAAACACATTACTCCTCAAGTCTATCTTTATTTATTTATTTTTTTTCAAAGTTTATTTATTTTTGGGACAGAGAGAGA